GGAAATTTGGATCAGATCCAACAGTTTGAGTGCCATTTTTGACCACCATGCTGGGAATCCTGTTTTGTTCCTTGGTACAGGAAACCTTTAGGGGTGAAACTCCAAACATTCAAGCCTGTGAGGAAATGACCACACAAAACTAGAGCCTCAGTTTGGAGAAGCTGAAACTGATTCAAACAAGATTTCATTAGCTAATTTGGGGAACATTTGAAGCTGTTTTGAGCTATACAATTCCTCCTCCTTCTCATCTCTACTGGCACTCTGAGAATCAGATCACCTGGGGAAAGCAGATTTAAAAAATTCCAGATGGTGTGTGTGATGCTCCAGCTGTGAAGAATCTCTCCCAGTCAGGCAATCTGCCTTTCTGCCGGAACCCTCTAAAACTGTGTTGCCCATTTGTCATGCTTCTCCAATTGCAGCCTTCTGGATAGCTTCTCTTTGCCTTGTCTGACTCTTCCTTTCCAGTTTTTATCATTCCCCTCCATGAGCTAATGTAGTAACATCTCTTCATTGGCTGTAAATCCATATAAGAACCCAATATAAAATACGGTTCTGTGAAGGAAAATTGGAAGACATCTGTTTTTTTTACCCATAAGAGTCAGTGTTCACTTGTCTTGTAAGACAACATGACTATGCATGTGTGAAAAAAAAAGAAACAGGAAGAGGGGAGGGAAAGACTAGCATGAGAGTGAGCAAGAAAGAATTCATGCATGTGTTTTTACAGCAAGCTGAATAAAATAAGTTCATCACCATGTCAGCTTGATTAGAATCCTGGGTTAATGTTGGAAAACGTCAATCTTCCTGACTTGAATGACCTTGATGGGGCTACTGAGGAAACAACTGCTTCTGGATTGGACCTGGTTGTTGTCTTGTTGACAAGCTGTGTCTGGAGTTATCCCCATCTTATGGTGGCAAGGTCTGAAAGCTTCTAGGCATTTTTTGGTCTCCAGAGGGGTCAGGTGGGTTTTTCTCGGAAGTTAAGCATTGTTGGGGAGTGGTTAAGGGAAGAAGCAGGTGACAGATCGAATCCCATGCTGTTGCCTGCCCTCCTTGTGTGCATATTCATGATAGAAGTTGTGAATATACCTTTCCTAATCTGTAGAGTATTAAATGGGAGGATTTTAGAATCCTTCATTTTAGCTATGTTATGGTCTATAATTTGGTTCAGGTAAGGCACATGGGTCACTTGGTTTTATTTTATTTAGTACTTGGTACTTTTTGAAATCTAGATTGAAAGTTACATAAATTGGTAGGAACTGAAAGATCTTTTCCCATATTGTAACTTTAAAAAATTGAAGTAAAATGTATATGTGGTAAAATGCAAACATGTACAATTTGACTAGTTTCGATAAAATTATATACCTATGTAACCACCATCTCAGTCAAGATCTAGATTTCCATCACCCAGAAAATACACTTATTATTCTTTTCTAGCAAATCCTCACCTTCCCAAAGGCAACCTATCACGACAGATTATTTCACCTGTTCTTATACTTCATGTGTACTCTTCTGTTTCTTGTTTAAGCTTAACATAATGTTCTCAATACTCATACACTTTGTTATGTATCAGTAGTTCACTTTAAAAAATTTTATGAGTTGTTTTCCATTGTTTGAATATCCTACAATTAATATATGATTTCTCATGTTAACTTCTAACTTGTTTTCAGTTTTGTAGGGTAGAAGGTTTTAATTATGATAAAATCTAAATTATCAAAACTTTATTTTATGGTTAATGCTCTCTGTGTCCCATTTAAGAAATTGTTGTCTACTCCCAAGGGCACTAATTTTTTTCTCCTTTGTTTTCTTCTACACATATTATAGCTTTAGCTCTTACTGAAGTTTATGAACCATTCCACATTAATTAATTTTTAGGGAGATTAATATTCACTTTTCCCATATGTTTATTCAATTGTTCCAGCAGCATTTGTTTAAAAGACTACCCTTCCCAGAACTTAGTTGAAGATTTGGGCTACTGGTCTATAATCTTTTTTTTCTTGTCAAATTAACAGCTTGTCAGATTATTACATCAGGCTTAAGATATAAAATGAGGGGAAAGCATTCTTTTCTCTTTTATTTTCAGGAAGCATTTGTGAACTAATGATGTTAGGCCTTCTTTCAAGGTTGAATTTACCAGTGAACTCAATTGGACCGGAAGTTTTCTTTGGGGAAATTTTTATTATATATTTAGTTTGTCTAATGTGTAGGGGAATATTCAGATCTTCTGTTTCTTCTAAGTTAATTTTGTTAAGTTGTAGTGTTTTTTTTTAAGGAATTTCCTCATTTCATTTAAGCTACCAAATGTATTGCCATAGAGTTGTTTATAGTAGTCCCACATCATTCTTTTAATGTCTGTAGGATCTATAGTGATGTTCTGCTTTTATTCCCAATATTGTTAATTTGTGTTCTTAAAATCTTTTCCCTTATTCTTGCTAGATGCTTATTAGTTTTATTAATCCTTTAAAAGAAAAACTTTGAATTTCATGACTTTGTTCTATTGTTTGCTGATTTCAGCTCTGATCTTTATTGTTCCTGTCTTACTACTTACTTTGGATTTAATTTGCTCTTCCTTCTCTAGCTGTTAAGGTGGAGATTTAGATAGTTGATTTTAAATATTTCTCTTATCTCTAATACAGGCATTTAAAGGTGTAAGTTCCCTCCTTTAAACACTGTTTTGGCTGCATCCCACAAGTTTTGATATGTTATGTTACTATTATTCAGTTAGAAATACATTCTAAGTTTTCTTCTGATTTCTTCCCTGACCCATGTATTATTTAGAAATATGTTATTTAATTTGTAACTACTAAGAAATTATCTAGATATCTCATTATTATTAATTTTCAGTTTAATTTTGTAGTAAGACAACATATTTGTGAGTTTCACTCTTCCGGTTTCATGGTTTACAGTGGGTGTTTTTCATCAAAATTGGGAAATTTTTGGCCATTATTTTTTCCAATATTTTATCAGCTCCAGTTTCCTTCAGGACTCAATTATGTTAGATCATTTTATATTGTTCCAAATATCCATGAAGCTGTTATATTTTTTCAATAATTTATTTCCTCTCTTCTTCAAATTGTATTATTTTTATTGACTTGTTTTCAAGTTCACGTCTCTTTCTTCTTCAACCTACTTTTGAGCCCATCTAATGAGTTTTTAATTCCAGTTCTAGTATTTTTATTTGGTTCCTTGTATGTGTTTGTAGTTTCCATTTCTGTACTCTTAATCTCTTATCTTATGAAAACTACATTTTTAAAAAATTCTTTACATATTTACAATAGCTGCTCGAATGTCATTGTCTGCTAAGTCCAACATCTGGACCATTTCTAATTTGGTTTCTGTTGACCAGCAAAATGCTTTTTTTGGTTTATTTATTTTTGATTATAGATAACATTTTCCATATGTAGCGGGTGTATGTTTCTTATGTATCTCGTGAACTTTTAATTGAATACTGACATTACAATTAAAAATATTGCAAAATAGGATGGATGTGGTGGCTCATGCCTGTAATCTCAGCACTTTGGGAGGCCAAGGTGGGTGGATCACAAGGTCAGGAGTTTGAGACCAGCCTGGCTAATATAGTGAAACCCTGTTCCTACTAAAAATACAAAATATTAGCCAGGTATGTTGGTAGGTACCTGTAATCCCAGCTACTCGTGAGGCTTAGGCAGGAGAATCACTTGAACCTAGGAGGTGGAGACTGCAGTGAGCTGAGATCATGCCACTGCACTTTGGCCTGGGTGACAGTGCCAGACTCCGTCTCAAAAAAAAAAAATGTAGAGTAGTTGGATTCCATTATCTTGCTCTGACTAGTACTGATTCTTATTTTAACAGGCAATTCATTTACTGGCTGGTCACCTTAAACTTTTGTAGTTTTATGCTAACAAAGCATAAAACCAAAAAAAACCATTTTTTTTTATAGACGCTAATGTTTATTGAACATTATATCCCGTATAGTTTCCCATAATTTTTTCATGTACTAACTCGCGTAATTCTTTTTGTTGTTGTTTTTTAGAGATCTGAAGTGATTTTACCTTTATTTCCTTCACTTTAAGCCAATCATGAAATTTCACAGTGATTTCTGAGGTGGGTGCAGAAGGAAGGTGGTGTTACGAATTGTCAGGGCTGTAGCCCAGTTGCCTTAGGGTGATCCCTCACCAGGGCAGCGGGAGGAGCATGGACTGCCCTGCCAGCAGGTAGGTGATGTTCTGAGCGTTGAGAGCTGGTATGCTGTGTCCTCCGTAGCTTTCAGCCTGCGAAGCTCACTCAGACCATCCCCCTCAAGCCAGTCAGTTGGTGATCAGCTTGGCTACCTTGGAGTCACCCTCAGCCGAGATAATGGCCATCTTTTTCTGCCACTTAGCCTTTTCCACCACAAATCTGGCCCTCTCTGCTTCCTGCTGAGCCATCTGTTTGGCTTCCACTGCTTCTGTGAACTCCTTCCCAAAGGTCAGATGTGTCAAGGACACGTCCACCAGAATGATCCCAAAGGTGGCTGCTCCCTCCATAAGGCATTGATCATGTGCCTGGAGACCAGTTCTCTGTGTGATTAGCTCTCCAGCATCAAAGCGAGCTACCACTGACTTGAAGATCTCAGTGGTAATGGACAGCAGCACCAGCTCATCATAGTCCTCTCCGATGCTGGCGAAGATGCAAAGACAGGCCGGAGGAGGATGCTCAGTGTGATGTTGACATTCTGTAAATCGTTGCTACCAGTGATGACTGGCACATTATGTGGCTGGGAACGGCAAAGATAATTGGTTTCTGTACCCATGGGATGAGAAAGCGAGTCCCTTCCCCTACCACAATGACTGAACTCCAGGGAATCGGTTGAAGATGACAGCTCTGTGCCCAGCATCCACGTGATATAAGGCAGAGTTGACCACGCCTCCTGCAACAGCTAAGGCCAGGACAGACTTGCTGATGGACTCACACTTTGGCACTATACTGCATCCAGTATAGTAAGTATATATATATATATATATATACTATATATTCTGTCTGTACTTCCACTGGATGATATTGCTGATATCATCCACCTCGATGCCCAGCGGCTCCATTACTATAGGGGCAATTACATGACCTTCAAAAAGATGTACCAGCAGAAGCAGAAAGAACTGTTGAAGCAGTATGAGAAGCAAGAGAAAAAGCTGAAGGAGCTGAAGGCAGGCGGAAAGTCCACCAAGCAGGCAGAAAAGCAAACGAAGGAAGCCCTGACTCGGAAGCAGCAGAAATGCCGACGGAAAAACCAGGATGAGGAATCCCAGGAAGCCCCTGAGCTCCTGAAGCGCCCTAAGGAGTACACTGTGCGGTTCACTTTTCCAGATCCCCCACCACTCAGCCCCCTCATCCTGGGTCTGCATGGTGTGACATTTGGCTATGAGGGGCAGAAACCACTCTTTAAGAACCTGGATTTTGGCATCGACATGGATTCACGGATCTGCATTGTGGGCCCTAATGGTGTGGGGAAGAGTACACTACTCCTGCTGCTGACTGGCAAGCTGACACCGACCCACGGGGAAATGAGGAAAAACCACCGGCTGAAAATTGGCTTCTTCAACCAGCAGTATGCAGAGCAGCTGCGCATGGAGGAGACGCCCACTGAGTACCTGCAGCGGGGCTTCAACCTGCCCTACCAGGATGCCCGCAAGTGCCTGGGCCGCTTTGGCCTGGAGAGTCACGCCCACACCATCCAGATCTGCAAACTCTCTGGTGGTCAGAAAGCGCGAGTTGTGTTTGCCGAGCTGGCCTGTCAGAAGCCGGATGTCCTCATCTTGGACGAGCCAACCAATAACCTGGACATAGAGTCTATTGATGCTCTGGGGGAGGCCATCAATGAATACAAGGGTGCTGTGATCGTTGTCAGCCATGATGCCCGACTCATCACAGAAACCAACTGCCAGCTGTGGGTGGTGGAGGAGCAGAGTGTTAGCCAGATTGATGGTGACTTCGAAGACTACAAGCGGGAGGTGTTGGAGGCCCTGGGTGAAGTCATGGTCAGCCGACCCCGAGAGTGAGCTTTCCTTCCCGGAAGTCTTCCAAGAGACAAGCTTGTGTGGCTTGAAGTTCCCCGATGTCTCCCTTTCTCCTCTGAAGACTGCCTCTGACCTGCAGCTGACCTAGCAACCACTCAGGCACATGAAGGTGGAGTGTGACCTTGATGTGACCAGGATGCCACTCTGATTGCATCCATTTCTCTGATAGACTTGTTTGTTCTGCTTTTCTTCAGATAACTGACCTGGCCTTATCCTTGACATCCCTCTAAACAAACAGAGGTGACCACCTTGTTGTGAGGTTCCATCCAGCCAAATTTATGTGGCCAGTTGTCTGAAGACTCATCACTCGGAAGCCTGCCTCTGGTTCACCCTACAGCTTCAGGCCCAGCTGCCCCCTGGTCTTTGGGTGGTGCTGTTCTTTTCTGGTGGATTTAATGCTGACTCATTGGTACAAACAGCTGTAGAAGCTCAGAGCTGGAGTGAGGGTCTGAGGCCTTTGCCATTATCCAGCCCAAGATTTGGTGCCTGCAGCCTCTTGTCTAGTTGAGGACTTGGGGGCAGGAAAAGAAGGAAGATGAAATTGAATAAACAATAAAAAAAGAAAAAAAAAAAAAACAGTAATCTAAGAAAAAAAAAAAAAATAAAAAAAAAATTATCTTCCACAGATCTGTGATTTTGAGGTGTTTCTTCAGGTCCCTCTGTTTTAATAGGACTTAACTTGCAAACTCTGTCTCTCTTGTGGATCTCCTCAGTACTTGCTTTCAGACCTTGTTGGTGTGGATTGAGGGGAGAGCTAAACCAGAGCTTGGTTTTTACTTCTATAGTGTAGTCTTTTGGTGTCTCAACCAAATGCCAGCAGTGTTATTAACATTATTAACAAGATCTGTCTGTTCTACTAGGGCCAGGAGCTCTGCTTTTACTCTAACATTGCTTTTCTTCTAATATCTCTCTTCCTGTCTCAACTCTGTAATACCTGCTATCTGACAAACCTAGCACTATTTAACTCTGAATCAATTTAGGAATCACATGCAATTTTCCATGTAAACTCCTGGGTCTCCTTTCTCTGCATAGCTACCTTTTCTCTGATGTCATGCCTTGTAGATTACCAGTGACTTTCACCAGCCTGAACTCTGATTTCTGCTGCCTAAGCTCAGTGGGATCACTTTGATGTGCTAAGACTGAAACTCTCTGTACTTAATTCATGAAATTGTGCCCAGTCAGATCTAGATGATCATGGGCTCACATCGTTAGTTTCCTTTCTTTCAAGGGTTGTAGTCATGACCAATCTATTGTCCACTGCCTGAAAATGGTTTCCTCAAATAGTTTGTTCAAGTTTATTATTGCTTATGTCAGGAGAGCTTGTCTAGTACCAACATGACTGGAAGTGAGTCTACTGTTTTGTTTGTTTTCTATTTATCCTGTTTTGTTTTTCTTGTATGTTTTAATTTCCTGCTTTATTTTGGGGTAATCAAATCTTTAACTGTGTTATTTTATTTATTCTAAAGGCTTTTTAGCTATAACTTTTTATACTGTTTTTTAGTAGTTACACTAGAGATTACAATACAGGTCTTTAACTTACCACAACCTACTTAAGGTTAATATTATACTACTTTCATAAAATGAAAAAATTTTGCAACAATATAATTTTATTTAACTTCCCACCCATCATTTTTTATACTGTTGCCATGTATTTTACATTTATGTATATAAAAATCCCCACAATATAATTTTTCATTAAACTATCAATTTTTATTGTAGTAAAATACATGATAAAATTTATAACTATTTTAAGTGTACAGTTTAATAGTTTTAAGTATATACAGCCAGTTTGATTTTTTCAAGAAATTAATAAAAGATGGAAAATATCATCTGTTAAAACTATCTATATATTTATCATTTCCAGTCCTCTTTATATGCTTGAATTTCCATCTGTTGTTATTTCTCTTCACCAGAGAACTTCTTTGGCATGAAGTGTGTGCTTTTTCAAGATGAATCCTCTCTGTATTTGTTCATATAAAGATGTCTTTATTTCACCTTCATTTTTGTAGGTTATCTTACTAGCTATAGAATTCTAAGTTGACAGTGTTTTGCTTATTTTTTAAATGTCACACTTTTGTCTTGGCCTTTTCTTCTATACAGTGAGAAGTCAGTTTTCTTTTTTTTATTTTTTATTTTTATTGTACTTTAAGTTCTGGGGTACATATGCAGAATGTGCAGCTTTGTTACATAGATATACACATGCCATGGTGGTTCGCTGCACCCATCAACCTGCCATCTACATTGGGTATTTCTCTTAATGCTATCCCTCCCCTAGCCTCTTAACCCCTGACAGGCCCTGATGTGTGATGTTCCCCTCCCTGTGTCCATGTGTTCATATTGTTGAACTCCCACGTATGAGTTAAAACATGTGGTGTTTGGTTTTCTGTTCTTGTGTTAGTTTGCTGAGAATGATAATTTCCAGCTTCATCCATGCCCCTGCAAAGGACATGAACTCATCTTTTTTATGGCTACATAGTATTCCATGGTTTATATGTGCCACATTTTCTTTATTCAGTCTATCATTGATGGGCATTTGGGTTGGTTCCAAGTCTTTGCTATTGTGAATAGTGCTGTAATAAATGTGTGCATGTGTATTTATAGTAGAATGATTTATAATCCTTTGGGTATATACTCAGTAATGGGATTGCTGGGTCAAATGGTATTTCTGGTTCTAGATCCTAGAGGAATCGCCACATTGTCTTCCACAATGGTTGAACTAATTTACACTCCCACCAACAGTGTAAAAGCGATCCTATTTCTCCATGTCCTCTCCAGCATCTGTTGTTTCCTGACTTTTTAATGATTGCCATTCTAACTGGCATAAGATGATATCTTATTATGGTTTGGATTTGCATTTCTCTAATGACCAGTGATGATGAGCTTTTTTCCATATGTTTGTCGGCCACGTAAATGTCGTCTTTTAAGAAGTGTCTGTTCATGTCCTTCACCCACTTTTTGATGGGGTTGTTTATTTATTGTAAATTTGTTTAAGTTCTTTGCAGAATTATGCATTTATAGTGACTTTCACTTTCCAAGGCTGGATGTTTCTTTTCCTAGCTGGATGCTTCTTTTTCATGTTTCTATAAGAAATATGGATCAGAAATTGGCAAAGCTTTTCATCAGATGGACCTCAACAATGTATCACTGGACATGAGTGATAGAGAAGAAAATCCCAGGATGAGTAGGTTTACAGCTAAAACCTCACTTCCCCAGAGCAGCACAATTTTGATATACTTTTTTTCACTGAATTGTTCACTTTGTGTTTTTTTAATTGGATATTAACAAATGATAACTGTATATACTTACGGGGTACAATTGATGGTATATTTTACACACACACATACACACACACACACACGATTGAAATTAATTAATGAAATTAATTAACATATCCAAGCCTCAAATATTTATTATTTCTGCTGTGTAACTTAAACATTGTACCCTTTGACTTACATCTCCTCATTATGCCCACTCTGCAGCCTTTGGTAACCACCAGTCTGCTCTATCCTTCCCTGAGTTCAATTGTTTTAGATTTTATGCAAAATTTGTCTTTCCCTTCCTGGCTTATTTCATTTATACTAATGACCTCCAGGTTTACCCATGGTGTTCCAAATGACATAATTTCCATCTTTTAAATGGCTAATTGTTTCTGTTGTGTATGTATGCCACATTTTCTTGGTGTCCATTGATTGAGGGACACTTAGGTTGATAGACAGTTAGGCTGAGTCTATAACTTATTGCAGTGATTCCATGTTTATTGCAGCATTATCATGAATATGAGAGAGCAGCTATTTATTTGATATACATAATTCAAACCCTTTGTATATATACCCAGAAATAGGATTATTGGATCATATGATAGTTCTACCTTCAGTTTTTAGAGGAATATCCAATCCATACTGTCTTCCATAATGGAAAATTTATATTTTCCATTATATAATATATCAATTTATATTTTCACCAGCAGTGTACAGAGGTTCCCTTTTCTCCACATTCTTACCAACACTTGTTATCTTTTCATGTTTTGGGTTTTTTTTTTTTTTTTTTTTAGACAGAGTCTCACTCTTTTGTCTAGGCTTGAGTTCAGTGGTTCAATCATACCCCACTATAGCCTCAAACTCCTGGGCTCAAGTGATCCTCTCACCTCAGCATCCTAAGTAACTGGGATTACAGGTTCTTGTCACCATGCCTGACTAATTAAAAAAACTCACTATGTTGCTCAGGTTGGTCTTAAATTTCTGGCATCAAACAATCTTCCTGTCTTGAACTCCCAAAGTGATGAAATTACAGGCATGAACCAGTGTGCCTAGCCTATATTTCCTGATGACTAGTGATGCTCTGTGTCTTTTCATGTGTGTATTAGCCATATATATAGTGAAATGTCTATTCAGTTCCTCTGCCCATTTTTTAATGGGATTATTCATTTTTATTATTAAGTTGTCAGAATTCTTTATATATTCTGGGTAGAAGTCCTTTATTAGGTAAGTGATTTGCAAAAAATATTTTTTCCTAGTCTGTAGCTTGTTTTTAAAATTTTCTTAATGATGTCTTTTGAAGAACAAATGTTTTTTATTTGATAAAATTCTTCTAATTATTATTTTAATAATTATTTATCTGGCATATCTTTATTACACCCTCACATTTGTAATATACTTTTGGTGGATTTAGAAACTTTGGTAGACAAGTTGTTTTTTCACCTTGTATTTTGAATATGTCATTCTGTTGCCTTCTGTTCTTTACTGTTTCCAACTAGAAACCAGCCTTTAATTATATTGTTATTCTTCTGTGTGTAATTAATAGATTTTATCTTGCTTTGAAAAGTTTATCTTTGCCTTTGTCTTTCAAAGTTTGACTACGATACTGGGTTTAGATTTCTCAATGTTTATCTTACTTGGGGTTTCTTGAGCTTTTTCAATATTGAGTTTTTATAATTGTTTTGTAGACCTTTTCAGCCCCTGTTTCTTCTAATATTTTTTCTGTTCCATTTCTCTTTGATCTCCTTTTGGGACTTCCTTCACAGTATGTTAATATAATTTATGTTGTCTCTGAAACGGTTCATTTTTCTTCAATCTTTTTTCTCCCTCTACTTAATATTGAATAGTTTCCTTTGATATGTCCTCTAGCTTACTGATTTTTTCTTCTGGCATCCCCAATTTGCTGCTGAGCCCATTTAATGAATTTTTCATTCCAATGGTTATAGTCTTCAAATTTAGAATTTCCTTTTAGGTATATATATATTTTTAAGTTTCTACTCTCTTGCAGGTTTCCTAATTGTTCAGTCATTATCCTCATATTTTCCTTGAACTTCTTGAACAAAGTATTTTTAAAAAATTCTGTTGAGCATATTCATAATAGCAGCTTTGAAGTCTTTGTCTATTTAAATCGAACATGTAGACCCACTCAGTTAGTTTTTTTTTTTTTTCTTTCTGAGTGTTTCTTTGAATGTCTTATAATTTGTTATTGTTGTTGAAAGTTGGATATTTAGATAATGTATTTAGCAACTCTGGATTTTTATTTTTTTTCCCATTATGGTGTGTGTGT